TTTAACTTGTGTATATCTTGTGCGATCCACCGAAAAGTAATATTCAAGTTATATTTTGAAGTTAGACTAGTACGTAACCCGTGCGATGCACGGGCCGTATAATTTTGAAAAATAATATAATTTCACATTCATTATGATAGAAATCGAAATCATTAAAATATATAGAAACATTAGTGAATCATAAAATGTTCGTGACATCACAATCATATATTATTAAAAACTTCATTGTACACTATATTATGAGTTTGATTATTTGCTAACTCATTATCTCAAACTAATATTTTCAACCCTCCTCTATTACTTACACGTGAAACAACAACATACAATTGGTCGTTGTTAGAGAGAAGATGAAGGTAGTATGGAACATAATGTGTATTGTGTATTCAACATTCTCAGAACAATGTACATATACAGAGAATTGAGTTGAGAAGATGATCTCCTCAGCCTAACTATTAAGCACGTGCTAATCATGCACTTAGCATGCATAAACCTAACTAACTATAAGCATAACAACCTAACTAATCTGGCACGTGTGAGCTTCTTTGGGAAAATACTCCAATACACCCCCTTGAAACCGAGCTAGGGGATGAAAAAGACTTGTTATGAAGAGGAAGCTTGGAACAGAGAGACTGAAATCGACCAGAAGCAAGAGGCTTAGTGAGTAGATCAGCAAGCTGAAGATCTGTGGAAACATATCGAACATCAACTTCTTTGGCTGCCACTTTTTCTCTCACAAAATGAACATCTATTTCAATATGCTTAGTACGAGCATGGTGAACCGGATTTGAAGCAAGGGCAGCAGCACTCACATTGTCACACCATAAAACAGAAGGAGACTCAAAGAAAATGCCAAGTTCATGAAACAAAGAATGCAGCCATACAATATCAGAGGTGGCAGTGGCAAGAGATCTATACTCAGACTCTGCACTACTTCTGGAAACAACCTGCTGTTTTTTGGAGCTCCAACACAAGAGATTTGGACCTAGCATGATGAAATGACCTCCAGTAGATCTTCTATCATCCAAACACCCAGCCCAATCAGCATCAGTGTATGCTTCAAGAGTAAATCTTGTGACAGGTTTAAAAATGAGACCAAGTGTGAGAGATCCTTTGATATATCTTAGTAAATGCTTGCAAGCCAGCCAGTGATAGACAGTAGGTTGTTGAAGAAACTGACTCAACTTGTTGACAGCAAATGAGATATCAGGTCTTGTCATGGTCAAATACTGCAAAGCCCCTACAACACTTCTATACAAGGTGGGATTGGAAAAGAACTCACTGTCTGCAAGGTGAAGCTTATGAGAGGGAGAAATAGGAGTAGAGACAGGCTTGCAGTTGACCATATTAGTCTTAACAAGAAGATCTAAAGCATACTTTGACTGATTAAGGACAAAACCATCATTATGCTTAAGGGCTTCAAAGCCAAGAAAATGATTAACTTCTCCCATGGACTTTAAGGCAAACTTTTGTCCAAGAGTACTGATCAAACCATTGACTGCAGCAGTGTTATCACCAGTAATCAAGATATCATCCACATAGATGAGAACTAAAAGCAACTCACCTCCAGACCTTTTAAAGAAAAGAGATGAGTCAGAAATGCACTCCTTGAAGGCAAGAGACAGAAGAAAACCTTTGATCTTGTGAAACCAAGCTCTTGGAGCTTGTTTAAGACCATAGAGGGACTTAGTGAGCTTGCAAACAGCTGAGGGTCTAGAACTATCAACAAAACCAACAGGTTGAGTCATATAGACTGTTTCATGAAGATCCCCATTTAAGAAGGCATTATTGATGTCAATTTGTTGAATGGACCAAGCATAGGTAGCAGCTAAAGTAAACATCAGTCTAATAGTGCTGGCCTTGACAACTGGACTGAAAGTCTCCAAGAAGTCCACACCAGCAGTTTGTTGAAAACCTCTAGCCACTAACCGAGCTTTAAATTTATCCACAGAACCATCAAGATTATACTTGGTTCTAAAAACCCACTTGTTACTGATGACCTTCATATCTGGAGATGGATCAACTAGAACCCATGTGTTATTTTTAATCAAGGCCTGAAACTCACTTTGCATTGAAGCTAGCCACTCTGGTCTAGATAAGGCCTCAGCTATTGTAGCAGGCTCAACAAGAAGGGGTCTGCTAATGGAGGCTGCATAAGTCTTGGGCTTAAAAATACCAGCCCTTGATCTGGTAATCATAGAATGTGAAGGAGGAGGCTGTGGTTGCAAAGAAGGCTGCAGAGAGGAAGAAGACAAGGGAGAATGAGAACCAGATGAAATGGAGGGAGAAGAAATAGGTAAGTTAACATAGAGAGGGACAATAGATGGAGTAGAAGTGGAGGGAGAAGCACTGTGATTATCAGCAGTGCTAGAAGAGGAAGAAGAAATATTTGTAGGCTGAGGAACTGAATTTGAAGATGGGGAGGGAAGGGAACCAGGATCAACAGGAGGAGGAATGAAAAAGGAGGGAACATAAGTAGAAGGAGAGGAATGAGCAGGAGTAGAGATAGAAGAAGAAGAAGTAGAGAGAAACAACTGCTCATATGGAAACTCCTCCTCATTAAAGGCAACTGAGATGGCTGTGTAAAGTTTCCCTTGAGGGCTAAGACAAAGATAACCCTTGTGATTAAGACTATAGCCAAGAAACAAACACTTGGAACTCCTGTATTGGAACTTATGAGTATTATAGGGTCTAAGATAGGGAAAGCATGCACAGCCAAAAGGTTTGAGGAATGTCAGATCAGGAGCAGCTTTGTACAACAAGGAGAAAGGAGAAGCATGTTGTAAGACTGGTGTAGGAAGTCTATTTAATGTATAAACAGCTGCAACAAAGGCATGCCACCAGAATTTAAGAGGCATATGGGCTTGAGCTAGTAAAGAGAGTCCCATTTCAACAATGTGCAAGTGCTTTCTCTCAGCTTTGCCATTTTGCTGATGAGTATGTGGGCAAGGATGTCTAAACTGTATACCAAGAGCACTGAGAATAGGAGCAAGAGACCTATATTCACCACCCCAGTCAGACTGCACACATTTTATAGTGGTTTGAAACTGTGTAGAGATGAAGTTAACAAATTTCTGAAATGTAGGAGCAACCTCAGATTTTGTCTTTAAAGGAAAAATCCATGTATATCTGGTATAGTCATCAATAATGTGCATATAATATCTGTAACCATCAACAGCCAACACATGTGAAGGACCCCATACATCAGAGTGTACAAGCTCAAAGGGAAAAGTAGTTTTAGTAAGTACAGATTGAAAATGCAACTGATGAAGTTTCCCAAGCTTACAAGCATCACAAAAGGGAATAGTAGAGGGAACAGACAAGTTTAAACCCTTCATCACTCTTTGAAAAACATTAAGGCAAGGATGACCAAGCTTTCTATGCCAACAAGATAAAGCAGCATTACTGAGAGCAGAAGCATTTGAGGAAACAGAAGCTGTAAAATTGCAGTGATGGGATTGAGACCTTGAAGGAGTGGGGGAAGAAAGCAGGGAGCTGTGCTTAGACAAATCCAGCTGGTATAAGCCATCTTTAAGCACTCCTTCCAGAAGAGTTTGATGTGTGGTCTTGTCCTTCACAAGACAGAAATTAGAATGAAACTCTATAACAATATTGTTATCCTTAGTTAACTGAGAGATTGAAAGCAGGTTCTTGGTAATATGAGGAACAAGTAGCACATTATTCAAGAGCACATGAATATGGTTATGTGCAGCAATAGAGGAACACCCTGTGTGAGAAATAGGCAACCTAGATCCATTGCCTACAAGAACAGTGGCACTACCTTGATAAGGATGAGCTTGGAGAGACAGATTCTCAAGATTTGCAGTGAGATGATTTGTAGCACCGCTGTCAAAGTACCAATTTGGATCAGAACCATAGGTGGAGGAAGAGGCATTAAGAGGTGCAGAGGAGTTAGCATCACCAAGATGCACTTGAGGAGAGGAGGGAGGAACATCTTGTCCTGTAAAACTGATGTCAAACCGTTTGTAACATTTCAAGGCAACATGATTGGATTTACCACAAAGCTGACAGATAACACGATCAGAGTTCTTATAAAAGCGACCACGACCACGGTTTGATCGACCTCGGCCCCTGTTGAAACCTCCACGGCCACGAGTTTGTACAAAATTAGCGGAGAGAGCAGTTTTAGGCACAAGAGCAGAAGATACAGCCGGAAACGCCACCGGAGACGAGACCGTATTGTTAGCCAAACGCATCTCATGAGTTTGCAGCGAGAACTGAACCTCAGGCAGGGTGATAGAATCAAGACGAGAAGTGATATTAACAACTACAGATTCATAATCCGCACCCAAACCACCAAGCACATACATAGCAAGTTCATCATCAGAAATATGGTGACCAACGGAAAGCAGTTCATCCGCGAAGCCCCGCATTTTGAGAATATAATCATCAACCGATAAGTCACCCTTTTTTAGGGTTTGAAGCTGAAACTTCAGATGCAGCACACGAGCTTTAGACTGCGAGTGAAATAGTTGAAGAAAGAACAGACCAAACCTCAGCAGATGAAGAGCAGCGAGTAACATGCCCAAGCATGGACTCAGACATTGAGTCGAGCATCCAGCTCATTATCAGTTGATCGGTGCGCATCCAATTGACGAAAGCCGGATTTAGAGTAGAGGAGAACGAGCCATCATCGGCAGGAAGAAATTTGACCGGAGACGATTGTCGGAGCAAGTAGTCCTCAAATCCATACGCTCGAACAGTAGAAAGGATTTGGAGCTTCCAATACGAAAAATTGGATCGATCGAGACGGAGAGAAAGCGGAGTGAGATGAGGAAGAAAGGGC